GGGCACTGCCAGCTGCCGCCTCCCCGGTCTTCACTGGCTCAGAGGAAATGCATTTTTTTTGTGGTCCTTTTTGCACTGTATAGAAGCGTGAAATCTCTAAAGCTCTCTGGTGCTTTTTGAAAAATCTGGAAATTCTTGCTATAGGAAATTCAATGACTCGATGCAGTATATGTCCTAGGGGTGCCCCCTGTTTTGTAAATATCGTGTCTGTGTGAAATGAGCGTGTTTATTTATACTCCTGATGCTTTTTCTTGTGTAAGGGAATTTGGGGTTTTGAAGGGCGTTTTTAACCCCCTCTGCCCCATAAGCTGTAACTAAGGATTTTGGAAGGACACCCGCCCACCCAGCACCCACCTGCTGGGACCCCTCCTCACCTGCTGCTCCTCTCTGCCCTCAGTGAGCACCTCGAATGCTTTCCCTCAGGCTATTAAATGATGCCTGCCCATGGGTCAGGAGCCACGTGGCAGTCATTGCTTCTCACACTCCTCCTCACACCCTCCCTCTTCCCAGGCATTCTGTCTTAGCCCCCAGCCTGGTGACTCGTGTTTTCTGGGACGCCTGAGGGCTCTCCAGGACTCTCACTGTGCTGGTCCCCTCCCACCCACAGCCTGAAGGGGCAGCTGTGTCCCACAGGGTGGACTTGTCTGTTTTGCAAGGCTGGACATGTGTTCCTTGCAGATGAACAGACCTACAGTGAGGCAAGCTCGCAGCACAGCCGACTCAGGAGCGGAGGCCTCCCACAGCACGAGCGGGGCCCGGCTCCCGGGGCTCCCTCTGGGGGCACTGGCTTTGCTCTAGTCTTTGTTGCCTGCCTGATGCCTCCTGGGCCACTGGGGAGAGCTGTGCTTGTCCCCACACTCTGGTACAGGCAGCCCCTGGGTGACCGTCCCAATGTCTCCGCTAAACCTTTCCTGTGCAGAAGCTGGGACAGAATTCTGTGTGTCCAGGTGCAGAGCACCCCTGTTCAGAAGGTAACTGGGTGGTGAGGCGTTTCCTTTGCAAATAGAATTCATAGCCATCAAGAATCACAAAATGACATTTTCTTCCAGAATGTACATATTACAGTTCATCTTCAAAACAAAACAGTTTGTCCTCCAGTTCTTGAGAAGTGAAGGAAGGGGGAGTTCGAATGCTTTGAAGGCTTGAAAACCCAGGGGCTGTGGTCCCCGAATTTGACGTAAAACTTGCAAAGGCATTTGTAGAAACAGTTGGGGTGTGGGAGTTGGGGTCAGAGGTGCCCCTCGGGAACGTCTTGGCTCTGAGAGTCCCGCCCCCTCCTCCCGGGCCCTCGATGGAAGCCCCGGTCATTTAGTCCCTGAGTTAGGATTGTGCCACGTTTCCTGGATCCACAGTCATGTCAGGCAATTCTGGCGACAGCAGGCATCGGGGGAGGGTTGGATGGGTGTCCCAGGCATCTTAGAGCGTCCTATCCAATTCCCAGAGGGGAGAGGCGCCTTGAGGGTCCCTCAGGAGGGAGCCTGAGCTGGGAGCAGGGGCAAGTGAAATCAGGTTCAAGGGGAACTTTCGCTGAGGTCATCTGCCACCCCCAGGACCCTCAGAGTCTCACAGTGGGTGAAGCCCCAGGTAGGTGGCATGCTGGAGGGAGCAGCCCAGGGGAAGGTGCAGGTGATGGGGTGGGGTAGACTGCCCATGGGAAGGTGTGGTGATGGGGTTGGGGGACTAGCCCATGGGAAGGTGTGAGTGGTGGGGTGACAGCTCTTGGGAAGTCGAGGGTGACAGTGTGGGGTGGAGGAGGGCAGCCCATGGGAAGCTGCAGGTGACAGGGGTGGGATGGACAGCCCATGGGGAGCTGTGGGTGCTTCTTGGGAAGGCATAGGTGACAGTGTGGGGTGATGGGGTGACAGCCCACGGGAAGGTGTGGATGATGGGGTGGGGGGCAGCTCTTGGGAAACATGAGTGACAGTGTGGAGGGGAGGGGCAGCTCATGGGAAGATATGGGTGATTGGGGGACAGCTCTCAGGACGGCATGGGTGATAGTGTGGGGTGGAGGGGAGGGGGCAGCCCATGAAAAGATGCAGGTGTAGGGGGGCGCCCACAGAAGAGCAAGGCACATTCCCATCACTCCCTGGATGGCTCGAGGAGGAAGTGGCCCAGAGGAGGGCTGCCTTGGAGGCACCCAGAGCACAGAGGCCAGGCCTGCTGTGGAGCTCTCAGCCGACCTCAGGCCAGGCTTCACGGGGTGTGTCAGCCGGAGCTCCGCAGAAAAACAGAACCAGATACAGGGAGGTTTATTATGAGGAGGTGGCTCAGACAGCTGCAAGCTGAAGACCCAGGATGGGAGAGGTAGAGTTCAGTCCAAGCCCAGGGGCCTGAGGCCCAGGGCCAGAGAAGGGGAGGTGAGCAGATCTGGCTCCAGTCACGAGTCAGGAAAAGGGGCAAGAGCTCCTTCCTAGCTTTCTCCAGGCCCCCTGTGGACTGATCGGTGCCCAGGTTCACCCAGCCCATGGGTTGAAATGGGACCCCCCCTGTCCTGGACCCACCTGTTCTGGACCCGCCTGTCCTGGACTCACAAGATGGCTCTGACTGTCCTTCCAGGACTGTGGAACTGACTCCCATGGTCGCTGTGGAACCCCTCTGCGGTGGCATGCTCCCAGAAGCTGCAGACTGTCAGGCAGCTTTACTTAGGAAGATTCCCTAGTGGGAGTCCTAGGAGAGTCCGCCTGGGGCCCCCCGCTGCTCTCTGCCTTATGCCCCTGTCTGTGGAGCTCTGTCCCTTCCGACGAGGATGCTTAGGGTCGATGTGCCTGCTAAGGGCTGGGTGAAAATGATGGACAGGGATCCCGGGCTTTCACCCCTCAGGCCCTGCCGAGGGTTCTGCAGAGAGGTGGGGTCAGTCCTGCCGATGGGGACCCTCACGAAAGCATCCGTGTTCCGGCCCTCACAGGAAGGAAGTGGCAGAGTTTTTGCTGGTAGAGCCCCTCCAGGCTTCCTGGATAGGAAGCAGTGGTGCTGCTCAGCACACAGCCCCTCGGCGCCTTCCCTCCGCCCCTAGGGCTGGGGTGGGCTGGGGGCCACCCCGCTGCTTCAGCTTCTGGGCGCAGCTCCCTGACTACAGACTGGGGATCGTGTTACTGTGGGCTGGGGCCTCACGGAGGCGTGTCCTCCTTCCCAGCCAAGGTGCTGGGATCCTGACTGTCACCTGCCCCAAATCCAGCCTGGGCCCTGTCTGCTCCGGGGTGGGTCAGAGGAGACCTGAGAACGGTGCAGCTGCCGTGGTTTGGGGGAAGGACAAAGGGATGTCTCTTCTGCCCCCGTTCCCGGTTCTGTTTCCTCTGTTTCTTCATCTCTCCTTCCCAGCCTCTTTTCAGCTCCCCCAGGGGTCCAGCTCCCCATCCAGCACTGAAGAGCAGAAACGGACCTTACTCAGCCCTGCACACAGCCGGACACTGCCACTGCGGTGGCTGCACTGGGCTGGGGCACGAGATCTCTGACGGCAGGGCCCAGGGCCGGCCTCCCACCCTCCGGCCCCACGGCCTCCCCCACCCCTACCAGGGAGTTGGTGTCAGGGGGCTGGGAGCAACGTGGCTGTGGTTCTGGGCATCGCAGCATCACCCAGACGCAGAGCTGGACCTGCCTTCTGGCTCCTCTTTCACCAGGGACAGGGGGTCAGGCCGAGTCACAGGGCCAGGTGCCCGTGGTGGGGGCCAGATGGGGTGGCCTTGGATTCCCGGTGACAGCTTGCTCTGTCTCCTCTGTGAGAAGAAATGGAGGGCCTTAGTAGGAGGCAGGGGCGCCTGTGGGATGCCTGAGCCTCCCACTCTGTCTCCAGCCTTGCTGTGGGACAGGGTCACCGAAGACCTTGGTGCTGATTTCACATTCTCTCTATTCCAAATGAGCCTCCTCTTGGCTGCAGCGAACTCTGCAGCCGTGGGCAGAGCTGGGGATGGCCCTGAGAATCTCTAACGTGGCTGAGGTTACACGCAGTTGGCAGAGTCCCCCACCTCCGTTTCAGAGTTGAGCAGTTGCTGGCAGGACACGGAGGGTGCCCAGGCTTCAGATCTGGGTTCGGGACCAGCAGGGCGGCCTGTTCACCTCTGAGAGGGCGGCCTGCCCTGCCCTGCGCCCTATCTGATCTGACATGCAGCCCTCCAGCCTCTTCCTGCCTCGGGGTGGGCCCTGGGAGTGGCCCTGGCCAGACCCTCTCTCTGCAGACCCTGTAGGACCAGCAGGCTGGGCGGTGGCTGGGAGGCAGGGCACGAGTTGGCCTCTTAGGTCCTGTGGGCACAGAGACGCTCCGGCCCTGAGCCTGTGGCCCCTCCTCCTGTGCCTTGTGAGGGTGGCGGTGATAGGCCACCCTTCTCGCCAGTGCCCAGGAAGGACCCCTGCTCCCAGCTCCCTTCCTCCCCATCCCCAAACCACTGGCAACCATGGTGGTGGCATATGGGTCTCCCCACATCACAGAGGAGGAGACTGGGCTGGAGAGGTGGGGGATGGGGCTCCCTCCGGGCAGACTCTCAGGTGGGAGTCCCCAGGCGCAGGGAGGGCAGGGGGATCTGGGAGGCGGTGGCCCTTGCCTCGTGTGCACCCGGAGCCCGCGGACCCCAGCACCCGCTCCCCGCCGCGCGCCTGGCGCTCCTGGGGCTCCTGGCGGCCTGCCCGGGAGGGACGGGGGTGGGGATGCTGCTCGCACGCGAGGCCCGGCGGCCCCATCGCGTGACTGTGCCGGCGGCTGCGGGGGAAGTGGGGGGAAGTGAGTGGGCGCCCGCGGGGGGGGCACGCGATGCTGGGAGGGGCGCCCCGCCCCCGCACCTCCCTTCGCGCTTCTCTTCCGGGGAAGAGGCCAGGCGCCGGGTCCACGGGGCGCCTTGCGGGCGGGGCGGGGCGGCTCCCGCGCGGGGCGACCCCTGCAATGGGGTCTGGCCGCACAGGCCGCCTGGGTGCGCAGGTGGCCGAGGCGGGCGGTGGTGTGGCCGCCTCTCCCGGGAGCGCCCAGGGCCAGCACGGGGCGCGGGGTGGGGGTCTCGCCGGGCTGCGCCTGCCCGGGTCCCTCCTCGCGCTCCGGGTCACCGGGGCCGGATCCTCTTCCAGGGCCTTGGGGCGCCTCCCTGCACTGGCTCCTCTTGGGTCCGCGCTTGGGAGAAGGGCTTTCGGCTTTCTGAGCAGCGTGTTGTGTGAACTGTGGGGTTCCTGGCTGAGCCTGGGGGGCAGGAGGCCAGGCTGCTGGGGTTTCCCGGTGTGAAGGCGCCGCCCCTGTCCCAGGGGTGCCCCCACCTCGGTGGACTGTTCCTGCTTCCTCAGACTAGTCCTGCTTTGTGGCAGAAGAAATGGGGCGTTTCTTGTTACGTTTAGTGCAGTGAGCAGAAATCCAGCTCTCACCAGCTATGGGAGCTCAGGAAGCAGCGAGGGCTCAGAGACCAGGGAGGGAGGGGGACAGAGAGGCCGCCGGCGCCACCGTCTCCGGGCTCCCGGCTGCCTCCCTGCCTCACTCAGGCCCTCGCCCCCCACAGACACCTTAGCTCGCCAGCACCTCTGCAGCTGGCACCCCGGATTCTGAATCAGTGGCCTCCCCTTTCCGGTGGAGGGGGTGCTGGTCCCGCCCGGCTGTCGGTTCCGGGGTGAGGGTGAGGGTCTTCGGACGCAGTGGTCCTGGCCTGATGAAGAGCGGCCTCACCCAGCGTCCAGACCCCAGCTGTGCTCACCAGGGCCTGGGGACACCACAGACGCTGGTCCTGGGGGTCTGGGGGCTGCCGGCCCAGGGACTGTGGGGTGAGGAGAGCTCAGAGGAAAGTGAGGCCCACTTTGAATAGCAGGTGGATGCCTTGATGGAAGCCAGGAGGATTTTTGGGAGCAGGAGGCGGTGACCCACCAGGAGGTGCAGGCCACACGCATTGCAGGACGCTCCCAGGTGACACAGTTGGGAGGAAGTCCAGCCCACCCTGAGTGAGACGTTAAGCTTCTACTCAAGTGCTAATTCTGTTTCTTGATGATATACCCAGAAGCCTCACATCGTTTTGGGACTGGGATGGGCTACAAGCAGACACGTGCTTTTTGATGAGGCTGTGGGCCTCAGACTTGGTTTTCTGTGTGTCGGGCTCTTGCTGAGCATCGGGGTGGAGTCTAAGTCTGGCCCAGTGAGGAGTGAGGGTGGTGGAGGGGGCTGCTTTGGAAACGGCTGTGTCTCCCTAATCAATGGAAGTGGGCGGATCCTGGGCTGAGCCATGCCGGGACCAGCCTGCCCCTGAGTGGAAATCCCAGCACAGCCTGCCCACTGCGAAGAACGGCCATGCTGGCCTCCGGGTGCTGTGTGCGGTGACAGTTTCTATGCCATCTCAAGGTCAGAACCAGTGGCAAAGTGGCATCTGCCTGAGTGGACACCACCTGTGGCTTCAGCTGAGGATCTGGGAGACGTGGGAGCAGCAGGTGCCCCCCATGGCCTCAGCGGGGGTGCTTCCGTCCACGCACTGGGGTCAGCCACTTGCAGGGAGGCCTCTCCTCTCTGCCCTCTCAGACGCTGGGGAGGGGCGTCCCTCCCATGAGGACACTGAGCGGGCAGTGACCACCTGTGCTGGCCTGGAACTCAGCCCTCGGCCAGCTGAGAGGTGAACAGCATCGTCTGTCCTGAGCTCTGCACTCAAAAGTGGAGAAACTGCCTCATCCTCAGGAGTGGGGGTATCCTTGGGGGCTGCTCACAGTCACCGGGAAAGGGGTGGCACATGCCGTGGTCCTGGGCCCGGGAGTAGGGGTGTCCCTGGGGGCTGCTCACAGTCACCAGGAAAGGGGTGGCACATGCCGGGGTCCTGGGCCTGCCTTTCTTTGCCCTGCTGTGTTCCGTGCAGCCCCTGAAGCCTGGGGCCAGGCCTGCTCCTCACCAGGGAGGGGCTGCGGGGGTTCCAGGAGTGAGAGGTGATACAGCTGTGCAGGGCACAGAAGATCCAGGTGGACGCAGGGACCTCAGCCAGCCCTCAAGGGGGTGCAGCCCACAGTGCGGTGGGTCTCAGGACAGGGGCTGTGGGACCCCCGGGTGGCTGCGGGGGGATCTGGCAGGAAGCTGGACTTTGTCCCAAGATGGGTGGGAGCCCTGGGGGTTGGGCAGGAGACAGCAGTTTCTGTGGAGCAGAGTGGGGGTGGGGGCGTTCTCAGGTCAGGCTCTGCCCCTACATCCTGGTGTCCCCTGCCCCCTGGCTGACCTGGGGCCTGCGTCTCGGTGCCCCTGCCCCCTCGGACCCTCAGGGCTGTGCTGGGAATGCTGCGTGGCCTGCAAGGGGCCAGTGCCGCCCAGGCCAGGTGGCAGGCGCAGGCGCGGACCGTGGGGTGAACGTGGGGAAGCAAAAGAAAGACGCAATGAAGCCCAGTGGCCAGGCCAGGGCTGGGGGTGTCTGACGTGTGTGCTCTTCTCTGACAGCTGTGCAGGAGCAGGGCTCACGGCAGCTGGCGGCCGGCACCCCCTCGCCTGGAGACAGCCGTCCTGCTGCGGGGTCTGCGGTGCTGGAGGGAAGGCTGCTGCTGGAGGTGAGTGCCACCCTCGGTTCCTCGAGCACGTCACACTTGGTGCTCTGTGTCAGGAGGCCCTTAGGTTGTGATGTTTGTAACTATCAAGAAGCGTAGGCTCCAAAATGTGTTGAAGAAGGGTGTCCCTGGGTCGGGTCCGCCTCTGGTGTGAGCTCGGTGGGCTGGGACAGAAAGGGCGGCTGAGGGCTCACGGCCCCGTGTGCCGCATCAGAAAGTCACCCTCATGCGCACGCTCTGCTCCTGCGTGTCCGTGAGAGAACCTTGTGCAAAATTAAGCCTTTTTCCCCAAAATGAAGGACTTGGCAAAGTCTGCATTGGACCTCCTGGTGTAGTTTCAATCTCGGTGGCCTGTGTGACAGCCTGGAAGCTGTGGGCCTGGGCAGGACGTTCCATGGGGTGGGGGGGCTTTTCATCACATCTCCCCCTTCCCCCGTCTCTGAAGTGCTGAGTTTTCCCTCGCCTGTAACTCGGGGCTTGTTACCCCTCTGGGAGGGGAGACTGCGGACCATTTTCCCAAACAAGGTAAGATGGTGGCATGGAGCCCTCCGGGTTGAATCCAGTCATTGTTCTGAAGATGAAGGGGGTTGCTGCCTCCACCAGTGGCCAGAGAGACATGGGCCCTGGGTGGTCCCAGGATGGGGCTGGTGGGCTTGCAGGGAGGAGGTGGGGGCAACATGGCACTTCCCAGGTAACAGGGTGGGCTCCCGCTGGAACTCAGAACCCCTGGGTGGGGTAGGAGGGCACCAGCAAACCCGCTCCAGATGAGAGGGCACTGGGGCCTGGGTGGCAGGCTGCCCCACAGCCAGCAGCCTCTGTCTCCCTCTGAGCTTCACACCCCCCGTGCCTGGGACAGGCTCCCCGACCCCCTCCGCAGGTCCTCCCATGTGACTCCAGGTCGGTTCACAACCATCAGCTCGCTCTGCCCCGACCCACCTTGATGGGTCCCCGTGCCGGGGCCTGGGAAGCCTGGAGCCTGCAGGAGGGAGGCCTGGGCCTGGTTCCCTGCTGTGGACTTCCTGCCCTGCTCCCAGCATCGTGGGATATTTGGGAGCTATCCCTGAGGGGGGACTCTCCAAGGGGACTTTGGGAGAGGCATGGAGGCTGGGGGTCAGGGTCTGCGCATCTGCTCCAGGCCCTGTGACTCTCCTGCTGCCCAGCCCGACTCCCCTGCCTGGCCAGAGCACTGGTCACACCCACTGGTTTGCAGGAGGGTGAGCCGTTCCCGAAGTCTCCCCCCGCTGCATCTGGTTCATGTCCTCTGGCCCACGGAAGTTCTCGAAGTTTGCTTAGATTGCAGCCAGTAGGGTATAGGGTTAGGGATGCTCACAGCATTGCCAGGGCAGTGAAGGGGGTTGGTTATATGCTCTTTCTGAAGCTTAAAAATATTCGAGTAGGGTAAAATAAGCAAAGCAAGCAACAAAACCAGCAAATCCCAGCGTTTACTTCTAATCTTCAATCTCTTCACAATAAACTGAAGAGTAGGAGAGGTTTACGGCAGGGCACCCTAAATCCATAAACGGCCCTGAGCTGACAGGCTTCCGAGCGTCTGCGGCTGTGGTCTGTTGACTTAAGATGAGGAAGTTAAGGACTGGAGCCTCCAGGTGCCCTGTGGGGCTGAGCTGAACCCAGTGCTTCATGTTTTAGATGCTCCACATGTTCAGAGAGACTTTAGTAGCAATTTAGAAATGAACCCTGAGAGTGTCGTCTGGATCCGGTGTGTCTTTTTTTTTTTTTTTTTTTTTTTTTTTGAGATGGAGTTTCACTCTTGTTACCCAGGCTGGAGTGCAATGGCGCGATCTCGGCTCTCCGCAACCTCCGCCTCCTGGGTTCAGGCAATTCTCCTGCCTCAGCCTCCTGAGTAGCTGGGACTACAGGCACGCGCCACCATGCCCAGCTAATTTTTGTATTTTTAGTAGAGACGGGGTTTCACCATGTTGACCAGGATGGTCTCGATCTCTTGACCTCATGATCCACCCGCCTCGGCCTCCCAGAGTGCTGGGATTACAGGCGTGAGCCACCGCGCCCGGCCCAATCTGGTGTTTCTTTGTCCTGAGTTCATCGGGTCTTGGACTCCAAGCCCCCGGCCTTCCCCAGGGAAGCCAAGACAGACGGTCGCAGCCTGTGGCGACCCTGCTGCACCTCTCGGCCGGTGCTGGGAGGGTGGAGGGATGGGCAGAGGTGGGAGACTACAGAGAGAAACGAGTAGGAGGGTCCAGGGACTCTGGAAATACAGCAGGTGAGCACCTAGAGCAGGCCCTGAGCTCCCTGCGTGATACGGTCAGAGCTACTAGGTTTTCCTTCTGTTTTGTAGGTGGGCTACAGGGCCGTTGTGTTTAGCGTGACTCACTGGAGCCACGGACATTAGTTGTCTCTGGATAGGGTGCCGTCACTGACTGCTTAACTTAACTGGTACTAAGATAGTTAAAATCAAGTGTGTGGTAATGCAGGGTGCATTTTCCAACACTTACTTAAAAATCTACGTGCACTAAAATTCATTCTTTCCGGTATTCAGTGGGAGGTGAGTGCCACCGTCATGAAGACTCAGAGCCCGCCCATCCCCAAACGTTTCCTCTGCTGCTGTCTGCAGTCACAGCCCCCTGCCTGTGGCTGCGGCCGTGTGTGCTCCGTCCCTGCAGCCTCTCCTGTGCCTCTCTCTGGGTGTCCTGCACACGGAGTCACACGCGTGGCCTTTGGAGGCCGGTTTCACTCAGCAAGTGAGTTTTGCCAGCTGGTTTCTTGTTATTACTGCAGGCCGCTGGTTTGTTTCTGGTTATTGATGAGGTATGGACGGACTCCATGTGCCATTCAACTGTTGAGGGATATTTGGGTTGTTTCTAGGTTTTGGTGTTTATGACTAGAGCTGCAATAGACATTCACACACAGGCGTTCCTGTGCACGTAGGTCTCCGTTTCATGAGTGGTAAGCGTGTTTGTGACTCTTACCGCCCAGCAGCGAATGAGTGTTTTGGTTGCTCAGCATCGGCGTCACTGTTGTCAAAACCATTTTAATACTGGAGTCTTGTCCGGGTTTTAGTTTGGACTCGCCTGTGACTAGCCACAGTGTGGACCTTTTCATGTGCCTCTTTGCATTCATGTGTCATCTTTCCATGTCTGTAGCTTCCGTGGTGATGTCTCCTCTTTCATTTCATTGGTAATTTGGTCTTCTATCACTTTTTCTTGGTCAGTTGAGTTAGAGGTTTATCAGTTTTACTGGATTTTTTTTTTTTTCAAAGAAGCAGCTATTGGTTTTATTTTCTATTTTCAATTTTATTGATACTTGTTCTTATCTTTATTATTTTCTTCTCTTTGCTTGCTTGGATTTAATTTCCTCTCCTTTTTCTAGTTTTTTTTTTTTAAGTAGAAGCTTAGATTATTGAATTTGTCTGTTTGTCCATTTTCCATTTTAATTTCCACTCTTCTTGTTTGTAATTTATTTCCTTCTACTTGCTCTGATTTTAAATATTTTATTTTTATTTAGATTCTTAAGATGGAAGCTTAAATCATTGATTTTTTAAAAATCAACCATTCTTACTCTATAATGTAAGCTTTTAGTGCTATAAATTTTCTTTAAGCACCTTTAATTGTATCACACAAATTTTGATGTGCTCTGTTTTCATTTCCATTTAGTTCAGAGTCGTTTCTAATTATCCTTGGAACTTTCTCTTCAGCTTGTGTTATTTTGAATTATGTTATTTAACTTACAAATATTTGGACATTTTCCAGGTATCTTGATGCTGCTGAATTCTGGTTCAATTTTGTTATGGTCAGAGACTATATTTTTTAATGATTTCTATTCTTTTATATTTGTTAAAGATTATTTTAATATGATTTGTCTTGATGACAGTTTCATTGCACTGGGAACATAAGGATGTTCCACTGTCACTGTGTGAGGTGTTCTGCTAAACAGTAATTAGATCCTGTTGACTTGTTGTGTTCAAGTTATCCTTGATTTTCTGTCTAGTCTCAACCTGAGAGAAGGGCGTCAACATCTTAAAGCATGATTATGGATTTTTATATTTCTCTTTTTGGTGCTTTCAGATTTTGCATCAGGTATTTTAGAATTCTGTTGTAGGGTGCAAACTCACGTAGGATATTACTATGTTTTCTTCACAAATTTACCCTGTATGTAAAATGCCCTTTTATTCCTGGTAGTTTCCCTTGTTCAAAGTCTGCTTTGACTGGGACTAATATAGCCACTCCAGCTTTCTTTTCTTCCCTTTCCTTCTCTCCTCTCCTCTTCTCTTCTCTTCTCTCTTCTCTTCTCTTCTCTTCTCTTCTCTCTTTCGTTTTTAATAGAGACAGGGTCTTGCTCTGTCACCCAGGCTGGAGTGCAACAGTGTGATCACACACACCGCAACCTCAAACTCCTGAGCTCGAGAGATCCTCCCACCTCAGCTTCTTGAGTAGCTGGGACTACAGGCATGTGCCACCATACCCAGCTAGTTAAAAAGATTCTTTTTAATAAAGATGAGGGTGTCACTGTTGCTCAGGATAGTCTAGAACTCTTGGCCTCAAGAAGTCCTCCCACTCCAGCCTCCCAAAGTATTGGGACTATAGGTGTCAGCCACCACACCCAACCCCCAGCTTTCTTTTGATTAATGTTTGCTTGGAGTATCTTACTCCATCCTTTTACTTTTAATCAGTTTATGTCGTTATATTAAAAGTGTGTTTTTTGTTGTCAGTATATAAGTTGGGCCTTGATTTTTTTTAAATCAAGTCGGACAATCTCCATCTTGTAATTGGTGTGTTCAGGTCATGTATCATGTGTATTGATCATACTTGTAAAACACCTTCTTGTATCTGCTCGTTCCCCTTAGTAGTGGTGGATCTTATTGGTTTGCAGTCTACTGCTTGATTATTTTCTATTTTTGTTCCCTTCATTCATCTTTTCTGCCCTCTCTTTGATTACGGGAATATGTATTGGTATTGCATTTTAGCTTATCTACTGGGTTTTGGGTGTGTATTTTCTTAATTTTTAATTGTTGCTTAAGGATTATAACA